TCACAGCCTGTCCCCCCCCCTCCATGCCATCACACCACATCCCATCCTATCTCACCCTACTGCATCCATCCCATCCCACCCCACCCTGCCCAGGGCCCCACTACCCAGAGCGAGACCACCAGCAGGAAGAGCTGCTCCTCATCTCCCCGTGCCTTCTTTCTGCTGAGCCCCTGTCCCCCAGTGCCCCTCTCCAGGCCCCGTGGGACCCCACTGTCCATCCCTACCGGCACTGCTGAGGACCTGGCAGGCCTGCGTGTGCCCCATCCTCTCCAGGCAGCCCAGCAGGTATTTGAGGGTGCAGTCACGCTCAGCCAGAAGCTGCAGGAGGCACTGCGTGGGGCTGCCGCGGGGCTCCAGCACCTTCAGCGAGCACATCTCCAGCTCCTCTGCACTGCAAGGTGCCCACAGCGCTCAGCGCCGCAGCCCATCTCCCACCCGGGGAGGACGCGGACCCCCACCAGGGGACTCGGCAGTGCCCGCAGCCCAGGCTGTGGCCACAATGGCATGGCCGGGGGGACCCACGTGCCCCTCACTCAGCCCATGGCAGGGATGTGCCCATGTGCGTTTTGTTACCCAGTGGGGGATGGACCCCTGGAGATGCCCCTCCACCTTTACCTGCACTTGAAGCGTTTCTCCGCCCCGGCCACCTCAGCCAGCTTGCGCCAGCCCCGGCTGGTGTTATCCAGGAGCTTGCAGAGCTGGGCCACCACCTCCTCACCCAGCGAGCCGACGGGCATGCTCCAGTCCCCCATCCTGTCCCAGCCCCACCACCGCCTGCATGGGGACACGGAGGGGACGAGCCGTCAGCGGGTGATGGGGTGACAGGCGCCTGCACACCTCTGGACACCGCCTGGCGCTGCTCCAGCTGGGGACAGGGTGGCTCAGGAAGGAGAGCACCAGCACGAGCTCGCCAGCGTTGGGTCACGTCCCCGCAGGAGCCCAGGAGGGTTTTGGCCTCCTTGGGGAGGTGCTGGGAGCTGGCCAGGCAGTGCTTCTGGATCCGGCCACTGGCAGCCAGCCAGGAATGACCCAAGTTCCCCCTCCATGCCTGGAGGACAAGAGCTGTGACAGAGGCACAGGAGACCCCGCTCACCCCCCAGCCTTGGGCCACGTTAGCCCAGCCCCAGGACAGGGACCATCGTGGGACAGGGTCCAAGGAACTGGGAAGA